TTGCCAGCACCATTTGTTAAATGGACTTTGGGCCCTTGTCGAAGATCAGGTGACCGTAGGTGGATGGATTTACATCTGGGTTCTCGATTCTGTTCCATTGGTCAATGTATCTGTTGTACCAGTACCAGGCTGTTTTGACTACCACAGCTGTGTAGTAAGTTCTGAGGTCAGGTAGTACGAGTCCTCCTACTTTATTCTTCTTCAGTAATGCTTTACTTATCTTGGGCCTTTTCCATTTCCATATTAAGTTAATGATTGTTTTTTTCCATCTCATTAAAAAATGTTGGTATTTTGATCGAGATTGCATTATATTTGTAGATTGCTTTGGGTAGAGTTGTCATTTTAACAATGTTGAGTCTACCTATCCATGAGCATGGTACGTTTTTCCATTTATGGAAAAGAATGTGTGCTTGGCATCTTTTGGGTGGAGTGTTCTATATATGTCTGTGAGGTCAAGTTTGCTGATTATGGTCTTTAGATCTTCTGTATCTTTGTTGAGTTTCTTTCTAGCTCTTCTGTCCTTTACCAAGAGTAGAGTGTTGAAGTCTCCCACTATTACTGTGGAACTATCAATTTCTCTTTTCAGTGCCGTTAGATTTTGTTTTATGTAATTTGGAGCCCTGTCATTTGGGGCATAGATATTTATTATGGTTTTGTCTTCATGATGAATTGTCCCTGTAGTCATTATATAATGCCCTTCTTTGTCTTTTATGGTGGATTTTGTCTTAAAGTCTATTTTATCTGAGATTAGTATTGCTACTCCTGCTCTTTTTTGGTAACTGCTTGCTTGATGCATTCTTTTCCATCATTTGATTTTTAATAAATTTATGTCTTTGTTTCTAATATGTGTCTCTTGTAGACAGCATATTGATTGATTGTGTTTTTTATCCATTTGGTCACTTTTTGTCTCTTTATGGGTACATTTAGGTCATTTACATTCAGTATAATTATTGATATGTGTAAGTTTATTGCTGTCATTTTGCAGTGCTTATTTGTGGTAGTGATGCTTTCTTTGCTCCTCTTACTCTCCTTTGCTGAATTCCTTTTGTTTTTGGATTTTTTTTTCTTCTTTCGTTTTTGTGCTTACTAAGAAGTATTTTTTCTTCTTTATTTTGACGAGTATGTTTGTTAACTTTCTTTGTGGTTACCTTGAAGTTTACCCGTATCTTCATACGTTTGAACCAGTCTTTTATTACTTGGTGTCACCTTGACTTCCTCTCCATTTGAAAGTTCTATACCTACACCGTTTATTCCCTCTTTTATTGTTTTGTCTTTGTTGTCATTTACAGATTAACCCCTCTGTTTCCCTGTTGTAAATCTTTTAGTTTTGATTTATCCTTGCGAGTTCATTACCTAGGTTGATGTTTGGCTGATGCGGTCTTGTGTCCTAGAGTCAGGCTGTCATCTTTGACAAAGGACTCCCTTTAATAATTCTTGTAAGTTTGATTCAGTTTTTCCATATTCTCTTAATTTCTGTTTATCTGTAAATGTCCTAATTTCACCCTAATATGTGAATAAAAGTTTTACAGGATATATTATTCTTTGTTGGCAATTTTTTTCTTTCAAGTTTTTATATTGCCTTCTTGCCTACATGGTTTCTGCCAAATAATCAGAGTTTAGTCTTATTGTTTCTCTTCTGTATGTGATTTTCATTTTTCTCGAGCTGTTCTCTGGATTCTTTGTTTGTCTTTGGTTTTAACAAGTGTGATTATGATATGCTTTGGTGGTTTCTTTTGTGGTCCATCCTAAATGAGTTTTGTTGAGCTTTTTGGTGGTCAGCTTTCTATCTTTCATGATATTAGGGAACTTTTCTGTTAGCAATTCTTCAGTGATCCTCTGTGTTTTCTGTTTTCTACCCCTGTTCTGGATCTCCAATGGATTGCAGATTTTTGCTTTTGATAGTATCCCTCATCGTTCTCAGGGTTTCTTCATTTTTCTTCATTGTTTTCTCTGATTCTTCCTCAAACGAAATGGTATCCAAGTATTTGTCTTCAATTTCGCTGATCCTGTATTCCATTGTTTCAAATCTGCTCCTGAAAACTTCTGTGACACTGTCCATTTCTGAAATCTTGTTTATTTTTGGATTTCTATTCACTGTTTTTGTTTGATTTCTAGTTGTGAATTTATTTTCACATTTTCTTCCTGTGTTAGTTTCCTTAATTCTTCCATTGTTTTATCTTTCTTTTCCATGATTTTGTCTGTATTTTTCATGATTTTTGTCTATTTTTATCCTCATTTTTGTCTACTTTTTCCTTCTTCTCTTGGATAGCCCTGAATATTAGAGATCTGAATTCCCTATCAGGTAGTTGCAGTGCATTTTCTTCTACTGGGAGGTCATCTGGTGTTTTATTTTGGATGCCTACTGGAACCATCCTGTCTTAATTTATTGATTGTAGGTTTGTTTGTTTTGTCATTGTTCTTGTTTTATTTGATTAGGTGGGCTGAGCATTCTTTATTTTGTCATCTGTGGCTACAATACTTCTCACCACCTTGTCCAATGGGCAGGGCCAGTTGCTCAGCTGTGGTGCATACTGGGACCAACAGTGCCGGGCCGGTGTCAGTGCAGGCTGTTTATGGTAGGTCATGTCTATGCTGCTTGGGAGTGCGATGCTCATTGCACAGTGTATATAGGCAGGAGGAAGGGGGGAGGTTGTGATGGGTGGAGCTAAGTGGATATGAGAAAGAACAGAAAGAAGAGAGAGAAACAACAGCCAAGAAAGAAAAAGTGCTGAGGAAGTCTGCTGTTGGAGTGGTGCAGATCCAGGGAATCTGTGTGCTGGTGGCTTTCTAGCTGGGCCATGAGACACATTCTGTCAAGAAGGGACAGACACAGTATACACAGCTAGGTGGGCAGGAGAAAGGAAAGGAAGGAAAGGTGAGAGATAGGAAACTAGATTTAAAAAAGAGAGAAAATTGCACACATGCCAGGTGGTTTGGAGGACGGATAGGAATGAAGGTAGAGAGAGAGACAAGAAACTGAGAAAAAAAGAAGAAAGAAGAAAAATAGGCCATAAGGGATCCCACCGGATGCTGTTCCCCAGCCTAGTGGTGCTACACAGCCCATCAAGAAGGAGCAGAGATGGCACATGGAGGCAGGAGTTCAGGAGAAGAATAAGGAAGTTAGAGAGATACATGAAACTGAGAGAAAAAATAACAGGTGGTTGGGAGAAAGGAAAGGAAGGAAGTTAGAGAGAGACAAGACACTGAGAAAAAAAGAACGAAGAAAAAAATTCCCCAAGGGAGTCCACCGGAATCTGGTTCCTAGCTGAGCTGTGCTGCACAGCCTGTCAAGAAGGAGAAGAGATGGCACAAGGCACCAGGTGTTTAGGAGAAGGATAAGGAAGGAAGGTAGAGAGAGACAAGAAACCAAGAAAAAAAGAAGAAAAAATGCCCCAAGGAAGCCCACTGGAAGTGAGTTTCCAGCTGAGCAGCTCTGCACTGCCAGTCAAGAAGGAGCGCGGATGGCACATACTGGCAGGTGTTCAGGAGAAGGATAAGGAAGGAAGGTAGAGAGACACAAGAAACCGAGAAAGAAAAAAAAAATGCCCTGAGGAAGCCCACTAGTGTGGAGGCATGCACCGGGGAAGTGGCTCCCCAGCTGAGTAGCACTGCACAACCCATCTAGAACGAGCAGAGATGGCACACGGCACCAGGTGTTCAGGAGAAAAGAAGGGAAGGATGGTAGAGAGAGACAAAAAACTGGTGAAAGGAAAAAGAATCCTCAGGCAAGCCCACTTACTTGGTGATGCAGACCAAGGAAGTGGCTCCCTAGCCGAGCGGTGCTGCACAGCCTGTCTAGAAGGAGCAGAGATGGCACACAACGCCAGGTATTAAGGAGAAAGGAAAAGAAGGAAGGTAGAGATGAGAAACCTAAATACGAAGAAAAACAACAAGGAAAAAAATGCCCCAAGGGAGCCCACTGGTGTGGCTTTGCAGACTGGGGAAGTGGTTCCCCAGCTGAGTGGCACTGCACAGCCTGTCATGAAGGAGCAGAGATGGCACATGGAGCCATCTGGTGTTCAAGAGAGAGGAAAGGAAGGAGGTAAGAGAGAGAGAAGAAACCAAAAGAAGCTAAAAAAGCAACAACAGCAACAAAAAAATGGCCCTGAAGGAGCCAGGCAGTGTGTGCAGGATGAATCCAAGTGGCAAAGAGCCGGTGTTTCTGCAGCCAAGTGACCTTGGCCCGCCAGAAAGCCACGGAGGCCTAGCAGGGGGAAGAAGTGTGGAGGATAGGAAAGCATGTGTTGCTGATTACCAGGTGCTCTCTCTCCTGCTGGGAACTCCATGAACCTGCCTTGCTGTACTCCCTGTCCACCTTTCTTGGTGGCTGAGGAGTCCAAGATCCATGACACATTAGCTGATAGGGGACCTCCACTCTCTATCTCTCCTCACTCTCTGTTCTCTGTCAGTTTCTTATTCCATTCGGTGTTTGGTTGAGTTCTTTATCGCTTCCTTTGACACTTAGGGTACCAGGACTGATGTTTGTCTCTGTTTTGCTTAGTTTTTTGGGTCTTTGCTGTGGAGGGATGATGTGGTGTTTTTGGGTATAGCACCATGTTGCTCTGTCTCCCATCTGTACCCGTTTAAACAGTAACTCCCCATTCACCCTCCCCGCAGACCCTGTTAACCTCTAATCTCTGTATCTATGAATTTGCCTATTCTAGATATTTCATGTAAGTGGAATCATACAATACTTGTCCTTTTGTGTCTGGCTTCTTTCACTTAGCATAATGTTTTCAAGATTCATCCACGTCATAACATGTATCAGAACTTCATTCCTTTTTATGACTGAATAATATTGCATTGTATGTGTATACCACTTATTACTGTGTATTTTGAGCTGGTTATTTATATTTAGCTAGAACAACTATCATTGCTAAAAAGATTAGAAAACAAAATAAGACTTTTTTAACACTAGTAAAAATACACTAAAATTGACTTGTAGACAAATAGCTTGTCATTTCCTTTTAACCAATTATTGGTATTCTTTCACTTTTTAGGCAGTTGCTCAAGGGGATTTTCAAAGAGCATCTATGTTTGTACTGCGCTGTAAAGATATGCTGATGAGGCTACCCGAGATGGTGAGTGAATCTCCGCATTTATTTTACAAGAGTTTGAAAATATGCTATATCAAGTTTTAGGAAGAATCACTACTACTTCATGCAACCCTTTGAAGATTCTATTTGAGATCTCTTCCCACTTATTTAGCTGATTTTTAAAATATTTTGTTTCCTTCTTTCTTTACCAGAAAGGGCATTTGGGAAAAAAAAATGATAAGGGTTATTTCTTAAAATTTCTTAGCTTTTTCTTTTATTCTCAAACCATTTAATTTTTCTCCATATTCCATGCTACATGATGAAAGAAAGAAAAAAAAATGAGAGTTTATTTATTCCTCTGCTGACAAAATTGACAGCAGGTAATCATGTCCCTGCCAAAGTATCTTCTTATATTGGGATGTAGAGGTGAGGGAGATTTGATAGGATAAAACCTGCTTCCCGGCTTGGATCTCATCAAAATTCCTAAATTTTTGTTTTTCCACCTCATTGCCCTTTTCCATTCTTTCTCCCCTGTTTCAGTGCCTATGCTTATCAGCCTTTCCTATCAGAAAGGGAATTTATAACTGATATATTTGGATGTTAAGGAGAGTATTCCTAGAGCTCCATAAATTGTAATTTCTTGTGATATTGATCTTACATTTTTCTCAAATTCTGGTTATAATATAGAAATTAATTCAGAAAACATTTATATATTGCCTGCCTGCTATGTGCCAGGTACTAGGCTACTTAAAAATTTCTGAACAATTTCAAATTTACAGAAAAGTTGCAAGAATAGTACAAAGAACTCCTGTATACCCTTTGCCCAGAGACACCATTCAAGTTCCCAGGTAATGTCCTTCATAGAAAATGGACTCAATCTAGGATTGCACCCAATCTCTAGCCTCTTTCAATGTGGAATACTTCTTCAGCCTTTCTTTGACTTTTATGACCTTGGCAGCTTTGAAGATTACAGGCAAGTCATTTTGTAGAAAGTCCCTTAATTTGGGTTTGTCCAAAGTTTCCTCATGATTAGAGCAGGCTATGAATATGAGAGCAGAATATCACGGAAGTGATTGTTCTCCTCATGGCATACAGATTCGATTTATCATATTGCTGTCGGTGTTAACTTTAATCTCTTGATTAAGATGGTGTCTGCTAGGTTTTTTTACTGTAAAATTGTGTTTTTCCCTTTTTTATTAATAAATATCTTGTGGGGGAGATACTTTGAGACTTTTTAAAATCTAGTTTCTCATCCCACTTTCACCCACTAGTTTTAGCATCCATTGATATTTCTTGCCTAAATTATTACTATGATGGTTGCCAGTGGCTATTTTTCTAATTTCAACCTCTCTACATTTGTTAGTTGATTGTTGTTGTTGGTTGCTGTCAAGTTGATTCTAATTCATGGCCACCCCATGTGTGCAGAGTATAACTGCTATAGGGTTTTCAAGGCTGTGACCTTTCAGAAGCAGATCACCAGACCTGCCTTCCGAGGCACCTTTGGGTGAGTTTGAGCCACAAACTTTTCAGCTAGTAGTTGAGCACTTAACTGTTTGCACCACCCAGGGACTCTTCCCCATTTAATTATTCATTTATATCAGTGTGAAGTCATGGGCTCCTATTTAATTCAGTGGATTATAATCTGTTACTATCTTTTTTTATATTATTATTTATTTTTTTGAACCATTTGAAAGAAGGTTGCATACATCATGACCCTTTACTGGTTAATACTTCAGTATGTATTTCTTAAGAATAGGGTATTTTCCTTTATAAACGCAGTTGCTGTTGTTGTTAGTTTCTGTCAAGTTGACTCCAACTCATAGCAACCTCATGTATAACAGAATAAAACTTTGCCCGGTCCTGCACCATAGTCGCAGTTGTTGCTGAGTTTCGGATCATTGTCGTAGCCACTGTGTCAATCCATCTCATTGAGGGTTTCCCTTGTTTTTGTTGACCCTCTAGCTTTACCAAACATGATGTCCTTTTCTAGCAATTGATTTTTCCTGATGACGTGTCCAAAGTAAGTGAGACAAAGTCTCTCTGTGCTTGCTTCTAAGGAGCATTTTGGCTGTACTTCCTACAAGACTGATTTGTTCATTTTTCTGGCAGTCCATGGTATGTTCAGTATTCTTTGCCAGCACTACAATTTGAATGCATCAATTCTTCTTTAGTCTTTCTTTTTCACTGTCTAGTTTTCACATGCATCTATGAGGCAGTTGATGATGGCTTGAGTCAGGTGCACCTTAGTCATCAAAGTGATGTCTTTGCTTTTTTAAGATTTTGAAGAGGCCTTTTGCAGCAGATTTTCCCAGTGCAATATGTTGTTTGATTTTTTGACTGCTGCTTCCATGGGCGTTGGTTGTCGATCCAAGTAGAATGAAATCCTTAACAATTTCAATTTCTTCTCCATTTATCATGATGTTGTTTATTGGCCCACAGTGCACTTACAAAATTCAAGACTTTTAACATTGAGAAATATTTTAATATGATATACAGTTCATATTCTAATTTTTTCAATTGTCCTAATGCTAATTTATAGCATTTGTCTTCCGCTGCTAGTCTATCATCCAGTTTGGGATCATGCTTTACATTTAATTATCATATTTCCTTAGTCTCCTTAAATCTGTCTTTATCTTTCATGACTTTTTTATAGTTTATTTTATTTATTTTTTTTGTTGAAAATGTATGCAACAAAACATACACCAATTCAGCAGTTCGTATGCGTACAATTCAGTGACTTTGGTTAAATTCTCTGAGTTGTGCAACCATTCTCACCCTCCTTTTCCAAATTTTTCCTCCACCGTTAACCTCAGCTCGCTACTCCCTAAGTTTTTCCTCTAACCTTTTGAGTTGCTGTTGTCAATTTGATCCCATATAGATAGTTCTTTAAAAGAGAACAATGATCAAGGCAGCCATTTTTTACTAATTAAGGTATTGTTTGGTTTAAAGAAGACTTCAGGAAATATTTTTGGTTAAAGGTTTAAAGATTATTTTAGGGCAATAGTTTCAGGGGTTAATCCAGCCTCTATGGCTCCAGAATGTCTGGATCCCTTTCATGTCTTTTTCCAAACAGGTTTCTTGAATTATAATTGACATATAATAAATTATATACATTTAAAGTGTACAGTTTAATGAGTTTTGGCATATGTATACACCTATGAAACCATCATCACAATCAGAATAATGATCATTTCCATATTCCCAAATGTTTCATTGTGTCCTGCTGACTCCTCCCTAACCCTCTTCCACTTTCTGTAACTATAGAGTAGTGTGCATTTCTAGAATTTTATGTAAATGGAATCATAAATATATACTTTTTTGTCTGGCTTCTTTTATTCAATGTAATGATTTTGAGATTTATCTATTTTTGCATATCAATAGTTATTCTTTTGTATTGCTGAGTAAAATTCCAATATATGTATATACCACAATTTGTTTGTCTATTCACCTGTTGATGGACATTCAGGTTGTTTCCAATTTTTAATTTTTAAAATCTATTATAAATTAAAAAAAAAAAATCTGTTGCTGTTGAATTGATTCTAACTCATAGTGACCCTATAGGATGGAGTAGAACTGCCCCATAAGGTTTTCAAGGCTGTAATCTTTACAAAAGCAGACTGCCACATCTTTCTCTTGTTGAGCGGCTGGTGGGCTTGAACCGCTGACCTTTTGGTTAGCAGCCGAGTGCTTAACTACTGTGCCACCAGGGCTCAAGAGGATGGCATAAGACTGGTCAGCATTTCATTCTGTTGTACATAGGGTCACTATGAGTAGGAATGGACTCGATGGCACCTAACAACAACAACAACATTACAGATAAAATTGCTTTGATCATTCATGTACAAGTACTTGTGTGGTCATATTTTTTTTTCTTTTGAATATGTACCTAGGATTGGAATGAATGGCACATATGGTAAGTGTACAGGTTTCCCCCGCTATCTGAAAGTAGAACATTCCTATGAAACCTTTCGTAAGCCAAAATGGCATAAAGCGAAGGAGCAATTACCATTAATTTATATGGGAAAATTTTTTGAGCATTTCCAGACCCAAAAAAATAACCTACCAAATCATACCAAATAACACATAAAACCTAAAATAACACTAAGATATAGTAAAAGCTAAGATGCTGAGTGTAGTTCCCAGGGAAAGAGCTTGGCGATGCCCACTTTTGCTGCTCTGGGTGCTTGCTGCCTCTTTAACAGCAAGCTGCAAAACAAATCCTGAATGCTATTTCCTCTCTTTACCTTTCTTTGTGAAAGTGAAAATCCTCTTCAGATTTCTTTCAGTTAGTCAAAACATGTACTAATGTAGGTCTTTCATAAAAGTGAAGTGGCATAGAACAAACTTGTGGAAAGCGGGGCATACCTGTATGTTTAACTTTTTAAGAAACTGCCATACTGTTTCCCAAAGACGTTGAATCATTTTTCCCTCCCACCTACAGCATTTGAGGGTTCCATTTGCTCCACATCTTCACCAACACTTGGTATGGTCAGTCTTTTTAATTTTAGCCATTCTTATTGGGATGTAGTGGTATTGTTGTTGTTGCTGTATAGTTATTGCTTTTTTTTCTGTGTCTGCCTCCATGATTTTTCCTTTGTCTTTTAGTTTTCAGCGGAAACCCTGATGTCATGGGGTAAAGAGTTTTGCTGCTAACCAAAACGTTGGCAGTTCAGATCCACCAGGTGCTCCTTGGAAACCCCATGGGGCAGTTCTACTCTGTCCTGTAGGGTCGCTATGAGTTAGAATCAGCTCAACAGCAACGGGTTTGTTTGTTTGTTTTTTAGTTTTCAGCAGGTTGCTCTTGATGTGTCTGGGCATGATTTCTTCGGGTTTATTCTGTTTGCGATTTGCTGAGGTTCTTGAATGTATAGATTTATATGTTTCTCCAAGTTTGGGAGGTTTTTAGCCATTATTTCTTCAACCGTTTTCAACACCACATTCTTTCTCTTTTCTGGAACTCCAGTGATATGAGTTTTAAGCCTTTTGTTATGATCCCAAAGGTTCCTGACTCTCTGTTCTGTTTTCTTTTTCAATCCTTTTCCTCT